ACCACTATGACGGCATTTCGCTCGCACCTGTTGGGCGCGGGGGCTGGTCGTCCTTGTTTATTGTGGGGCGCTGTTTCAGGGTACTTATGGCAAGACGCAGCCGGTGGCGGGTGGGCGCTTGGTCGGGGCGACCGGCGCCCGCCCCAACAACAGCAGCCTGGTGGAGCTGGATAATCTGCTGGAGGACCTCAGCACCAGCCGCTACGCCAATGTGCCGGAGAATGGCGTCAATGGGGCGCATTCCAGGCCGGGCAGCGCCCAGAACAGCCTCGATCGGCCGTCCAGCGCCCAGGGCGCCTACAATCGCCCGTCGGTCGACGACTTGCTGCAGGAGCTCGATCAGGGGTAAGCGCCCCCAGCCAACCCTGTCACTTGGACAGCTGTGGCGGTGGCAACGCCGCCCTGGAGGCTGTTTAGGGCAGGTTTTTTTTTTGGTTTTTTGACGATGACTGAAATTGGTCAGAGCCGGTGCGCCCACAGCACCCACACGGAACCCGCGTATAAAATCGCCGTCGTTCGACTGGGTTCCGCTCAGTGGGTGCGTGCGCGCGGTACCGAGCGCGTTAAAATGGCCACAATTTGCGAAACAGTCGTCGACTATTTCAGGTGCGCCAGGTGGGGCGTTTTTGGGGGTTTTGTCTAATTTTCCGTATTTTTTCGCCAGTGATGTGATCTACGCAGGCCCGAAAAAGGTGGTGATCACCGTCAAGGAGACTAAGACGGAGACCGGATTTCCGGGCGAGACGGAACTGGTGTCGGCGCACACCACGCGGGCGGCCTCCTCGGCCACCCGCGAGCTGGACGATCTGATGGCCAGCCTGTCAAACATCAAGGTCAGTAGCGCGGTGACGTTGACATCTGCCATCTGTCACTAGTCACCTGCCACGGCAGGTGACTAGTGACAGTTGTTTGAAGTGCATCCGAGGCCAAAGAGCAGAAATTGTGGGAAAATTGAATAATCTGGGAGCGAGCGGCGCTCTGGATGTGTTTTGGCAGCGGGTGCACGGAAAGCGCGACCGGCGCACTGCGACAGCCGAAAATAGCTGGCAGTGCGTGGGCGCGCCCGCCCCACCCCGGCGCGCCCATACGCCCGGTTTCCTCGCCGCGGGGATCCGGCCGGTCCGCTCAGTCGATCCAGCCAGTCCAGCCAGTTTCGACGTTAATCAGGCCTTGTTGCAGGTGAATCAGCGCCCGCAGCAGCCCGTCCAGGAGGAGAACGCGCGCCCAACCAAAGCCACCCAGTCGCAAGGGGCGCCCATTTCGCCGCCAGCCAATCTGGATTCCATGCTGGATAACCTGCAGGCCGACATGAGCCGACAGGGAGTGAACACCAGCCAGAAGGGGTGTTGCAGCGCCTGCGAGAAGCCGATCGTTGGGCAGGTGATCACGGCGCTGGGCAAGACGTGGCATCCCGAGCACTTCACGTGCGCCCACTGCACCCAGGAGCTGGGCACCAGGAACTTCTTTGAGCGCGAGGGGAAGCCGTACTGCGAGCCGGACTACCACAACCTGTTCAGTCCGCGCTGCGCCTACTGCAACGGCCCCATTCTGGATGTGAGTGGCGGGCGCAGCGCCCCCGCTAGCCAGCCCGCTAATCGGGCGCCGTTTGTTCTAGAAATGCGTCACCGCGCTGGAGAAGACCTGGCACATGGATCACTTCTTCTGCGCCCAATGCGGCAAGCAGTTCGGCGAGGACGGGTTCCATGAGCGCGAGGGCAAACCGTACTGTCGCGACGACTACTTCGACATGTTTGCGCCCAAGTGCGGCGCCTGCAATCGCGCCATCATGGAAAACTACATCTCCGCCCTCAACACCCAGTGGCACCCCGATTGCTTCGTCTGCAGGGTAGGTATCCGGGGGCAGTCTGCCCCCCCCGTCCCATATCCTACCCCAAATTCCCCGGCCGGTGAATAATCCAGTCTGGCTTGAATGCAGGACTGCAAGCAGCCCGTGCAGGGCAAGTCGTTCTACGCGGTCGAAGGCAAGCCGGTGTGCCCCAAATGCATCGGCGCCGACGAGGAGGAGGACGAATGACCCCCATTTATGCCCCCCGTGACTCTCTCTAGCTTGTAAGCGAAGCCTCGGTTTTTCAAACCCGCGATTACTACTTTAGTCTTGTTAAATGCACAGTTGAATAAATAAACACACACACACACCCACACACACAAAAAACAAAAATGAAAAACAGAAAAACACTGGAAACTGGGGGGACCTCGCGCTGGCGCGAGGTTCCCCCAGCTGAAAGACATTGAGGCGGATGCGCCACTGAGGCTTCGCTTCGGCTGCGAGCTAAGGGGGGCCTGGGGGCGGTAGCCCCTAGTTACCTTGTCGGCCCACATTCAGGGCGTTGTGGCGGATGCGCCCGCACGCTAAATTCCCCCTTTCTGGCCGTCGGGTTTCAATTGGCCCTTTTTCCAGCTCTGGGGGATTCCGATGGTCTCCGGGTTCCTGATGATTGTTTCGTGCACTTCAATTTAGGGGGTTTTCAGCCCTTAGGAGTCTTTGGTCGTTGACAGGACATTATGGCGAATGCGCCCCCACCGCACCCACTTTAGGGCTTCCATCGCGAGTTCATTGCAAGTTTAATTTTTTCCGTTCAGTTTCCGCAATTAGGTGAAAAATCGCTCGTAAAGTTTGAGGAAAATCGGGAAATTTTCGAGCGGTGTTGCCAGACGGCGCAAAAAGTTTTAAGTTAATGAAAATTGGTTCCTGGGATTCCTAGCGTGCGGATTCATTCAATTTGGGTCGGTTTAGACTATGAAGAAAACAGCAAAAAATTGATGCAAATAAGGAAACGTGGGGAAAAAATGAAATTGAAAAAAATTTAAAATTGAATGGAAAAAAAGACAAACTGACTCAAAATGAACCGAAATGAAAACAACGGAAAACGGGGAAAATCGGGAAATTTTCGAGCGGTGTTGCCAAACGCCGCAAAAAGTTTTAAGTTAATGAAATTTGTTTCCTGGGATTCCGAGAGTGTGGATTGATTCAATTTCGGTCGGTTTAGATAATGAAGAAAACCGCAAAATATTAATGAAAATGAGAAAAAATTTAATTGAAAAAAAAAAGACAAACTGGCTCAAAATTAACCGAAAGGAAAACAAGTGGAAACTGCGTGGCAACACCGCATTCTGTGCAATTCCCGAAAGAGACGCGCCAGATAACCTCAATAAATGGGCGACGACAGAAAAGAGACTCAAACTTTTGTAAAAAACCCAATTGTTAGGCAATTTTGCCGTGGAGTTTTTGACTTGCTTCGGACGAGCGCATTTTCGTGCGTCAGTTAGTGGTTTTGTTCCATTTCGCGTCGTCTTGAGGCTCCAGCCCGCCGTTTTAAAAAATAACGCAGTTTCAGGGACAAAAAATCCGCGATGTTCCATAAATCAAGCGAAAAACCACGCGGGAAAATCGGGAAATTTTCGAGCGGTGTTGCCAGACGGCGCAAAAAGTTTCAAGTTAATGAAAATTGGTTCCTGGGATTCCTGGAGTGTATTCAATTTGGGTCGGTTTAGATAATGAGGAAAACAGCAAAATATTGATGAAAATAAGAAAAAAGGGAAAAAATTGAAATTGAAAAAAATAGGCAAACTGGACCTTCCAGGAATTTTTCCGCCGAAACAAGTCGCAGACGCGCCTGCACCGTTGCCGCTTCCATCCACATCCGCCTCCCACTAGAGTCCTTTGAAGCTTCCCATATGCCCGTCCGCGTAAACTCTCGAGACAAAGTGGCGAATGCGCCAGTAAAATTGTGGCCTGGCAAATTGCAGGATTGTCGGCAACCGTTCATCGGCGGTTCGTTTTTCGACCACGAGGGGCAGCCCTACTGCGAGACGCACTATCATCTGAAGCGCGGCTCGTTGTGCGCCGGCTGTCACAAGCCGATTTCCGGTCGTTGCGTCACCGCCATGTTTCGCAAATTCCATCCCGAGCACTTTGTGTGCGCCTTTTGCCTCAAGCAGCTGAACAAGGGCACGTTCAAGGAGCAAAGTGACAAGCCGTACTGTCACATGTGCTTCGAGAAGCTGTTCGGCTAGATGGCGCCACCTCCCCGCTTGGATACATGTGATAACCCGCCATACTACTTCTACTACTATTAAGTGCTGATGGGAACTGATCGCGCAGAAACTCCCCCAGAGGGTGCATGTGCAAGGGAGAGCGACATGGGATTTGCGGGAGTGGAAAGGAGATGCAGCACAGGGCAGCAACCGCGCGGTTGTTCCCGTCACTGGCTTGGGGCATTAAAGCAATATTAATCCGGTCCTCAGAAGGTTTATTTGGACGCAGTTGCTGCCGCATTTAATCTAGTTTTTTTTTGACTAATTTTAGTGTTTTTATACAAGTGTGTGATTAAACCTAGCTTAAACCCCAAAGGGGCGGCGCAGTTAACTCGGGATGTCAACATTAAAAATACCTGGCTTCGAAGGTTCAGTGTTTTCTGGAGCGAGGGCGCTCGTCCTCGTCGCTGCTGGCGCCCCGCCGGTGCCGCGACTTGCACTTTTTGTTCCTACTCCTCCTCATCGGCCTCTCCTCCTGCGCGCGCCTGGAGTGGGAGGGCTGCTCCTCCTTCTGCTGGTGCTCCAAAAACTTGGCAGTATCTGCAAAAGGGGGCGCCCCTGCGCTTTAGCCGGCGGCTCCTCACCCCCAAACGCCCCACTTACTCAAAAAGCGGCTCCCCTGGGTAAACTCCTCCTGCGTGACGGGCGTCAGCAGCGTTTCGTTGATGTTGACGAGGGCCCCCTGCGGGAGCACCTTGACGAACACGCGGCCCTCCTCATCGAAGCCCTGAATCTGCAAAAACCGGTCCGGTTAATGGGTGCGGGGCGCCTGACGGGGCGGGACTTACCGAGCAGTAGTGGGCTTTGTGGGGCCCCGCTAGGACACGAGCGCAGCCCCCCTTGGCCAGCACCAGCTGTTTGCCGTGCTGATCGGTGGCCGGTTGGGGGGGCGCCTCGGCCTGGACAGCCGCGGTGGCGCCCAGGCCGAGCCCCTTGGGGCGCTGCTCGGGCGCCTGGAGCTGCGTGCCCTTCGCGGCCTTTTTGCCGATGGGCATGCCCTCCGTCCAGCCCATCCCCCTAAGAAGAGCAAGACCGTAGTCGTTTATGGGCACTGATTCGTAATCCTCTAGAGTCGGTTCTTTCTCACCTTCGAGGGGCGGCTCGGTCAAGGGCAGGACGGTCACTTTGTGCCCCGACGGGGCGCTGCCGTTCTCTAGCCGGGCTTTGGCCTCTGCAACATCGTTTACAATGTCGTTTAAAGGCCGCGGGCCCCCTAAGTTTACCCACCTTTGATCAACTGGCGCGCCGCCAGCTCCTGCTCGCTCAGCTCGGAATCGGGGCGCAGGTCCTCCAGCTGTTTGGGGGCTGGGCGGCTTCTGGCCGCCCGTATTCTGTCCAGAAGGTCCTTCTGGTTGTCCTTCAAGGGAATCACCAGGGGCGCCTTGTGTGCTTCCACCGCCCTAAAATCGGCAAAGGTTTAAATCCAGCCCTCCGCGGTAAAACAAGCTTGCAGCCGCTTACCCCTTGACCTTGATGGCCTGCCCCTCCAGGCAGTCAATCAGCTCCTTTCGGCCCTCGGTTTCAGGCTCGCGTGGGGCCTGCGGCAGCAGGCAGGCCTTTTTTAGGGGCTTTTTAAAGCCAAACGACAGCTTCACGGGCTCCATCTCATTGTTTATCAACCGCTGTCAATGAACGGTGGCATGTGACGTTTGACAACGACGGTTAACCTCGCCGGAGTTACCGAGTTGGCAACAGCGCGGCGAGGGCCAGGGGTTATTGGGAAATAAAACACTGGATCAATTAACACACTGTGGGTTTATTGCGTTGGTTCCATGTTGAGGCTTCGCTGGTTTGGTTCTTCAATTGAGGGCCGCGATGATTATTTGCACCAGTTTTCCGTACACGGTCATGATGAAAAACTGCAGTTTTTACCGGTTTTATGCACAATTGCGGCGGGCACTGGACGAAATTTGGTGAAGTGAGCGGTTCTGAGCGGGTTTCTTCACTGATATGCACCGCAAACGGGTTCCATTAGGCATTGAACTTATAACTGGACGGACAGCTTGATTGTCGCAGTCGAGCCGAATTTGAGGACTGTTTTTATACTGCGGATGTTTTGTTTTAGGCGACGCGGTTCCTGGTTTTGCCGGAAAAATAGCGGAACCCATGCATATATTATTAGACCGGTTCAGTTGGGTTCCACGCACGTGGCTTATATTCGGACATTAATTGCGCTATTTTTTGCATTTTCAGGGTCTTTTGCATCGCTCGAATCTCCCATGGTCACAGTGGGGTTCATGGACGGTTCCTGCGTAACAAGTTGAGTTTGGGGAGTTTTTCATCAAGATTTTCTTTCCTGATTAAAGCCGGGAAGAACACGCAAAACGCAATAATTTGCGGTTGATAATCAGCGATTTTCCTCTGATTTGCATACTAATCGCTTCGCAATCGTTCGAGAATTTGGGTAATTGGAGACGCGCCATTTTTGGTAGAATGGCGTTTCTCGACAAAATCCTTAGTTTCAAACGATTTTTGTTGTTTTTGGAATTTTTGAAATTTTTTCAAAAATTTCAAAAATTTTCTTTCAGCGTCAGTTTTTTGCATTTTTCAGCCAGAAAGCACGGACAGATTTGTTTGAAAGTTGGTCCATAAATGGGCAATTCGGACGCGACATTTTTGAAAGAATGGCGTTTTTGAAAAATGCACAGTTTTTGGAAAAATGTCAAAATTGCCCTTTCACGGTCAGTTTTTCGCATTTTTCAGCGAGAACGCCAGGATAGGTTTTTTTGAATTTTGGTCTATAAATGGGAAAATTAAGACGCGAAATTTTTGTTGCAATGGCGTTTTTCGAAAAAATGCACTGTTCTTGAAAAAATGTTAAAATTTCTGTTTCAAAGTCAGTTTTTCGCATTTTTCAGCGAGAGCGCACGGACAGATTTTTAAAAAATTTAGTCTATAAACGGGCAACTAGAGACGCCATATTTTTGTTGGAGTGGCGTTTTTCGAAAAAATTCACATTTTTCGAAAAAAAATAAAAATTACTTTTTCAGACAGTTTTTTGCATTTTTCAGCCAGAACTCACCGACAGATTTTTTTGAAATTTGCACCATAAAAGGGCAACTGGAGACGCGATATTTTTGTTAGAATGGCGTTTGTCGAAAAAATTCATACGTTTTGAAACAAAACTCAAAATTGCTTTTTGTCAGGTTTTTGCAATTTTCAGCGAGAACGCACGGACAGATTTTTTGGAAATTTGGACCATAAATGCGCAACTGGAGACGCAATATTTTTGTTGGAACGGCGTTTTTCGAAAAAATCCATAGTTTTTGAAAAAAAATCTAAATTGCTCTTTCAGAGTCCGTTTTTCGCATTTTTCAACGAGAACGCACGGACAAATTTTTTTGAATTTCGTCCTAGAGATGGGAAACTAGAGACGCGATAGTTTTGTTGGAGTTGCATTTTTTAAAAAATGCAGGATTTTTGGAAAAATGTCAAAAATGCTCTTTCGGCCAGGTTTTTTAAATTTTCCAGCGAGAAAGCACACTGACTTTTTTGGAATTTGGTTTATAAATGGGTAATTGGAGACGCGATATTTTTGTAGAAAGGGCGTTTTATGAAAAAATGTCAAAATTGCCCATTCAGTCAGTTTTTCGCCTTTTTCAGCCAGAACGCACGGACAGATTTTTTTGAAATTTGGCCCATAAATAGGGCACCCGAGAAGCTCCATTTTTGCTAGAATACATTTTTTGGAAAAAACGCCTGGCTTTTCGGATATCCCCAAAATCAGCCTTCTGACGGCAGTTTTTCGCTTTTTTGACGCACAAACTATGCATGCATTTTTTCCAAACTTTGCCAATGATCGCGCGACTTGGCAGCCTACTTTTTCGCAAGAGTCAGTTTTTTCCGAAAAAGGTCCGGTTTCAAACAAATTCGCAAAAATTAGCTTGTCACAACGTACGAATAATTCCGCCTCGAACTTTCGCCAATCACGCATATGAACCACGCCCAAATTAAAGCGCCACCTATCCAACAAATTTCCCAACTGCCAGCCGACAACGTGGCAAATGCGCGCTCATTCTCGTCACCTTGGCGAATGAGCCTGCGCGCATTAAAACCGCAGTACAACGCGCACGCCACTGGAACGTCAAAATGAGGGTCCAAAGGAGGGAATGAGAGAAACACAATCGGCTACTAAATAAAACAGCTTGTTCTGGGGCGAGGCCCTGAACAGGCCCCGCCCGCTCAAGGTGGGCGAAGCCCACTGTGGGCCACACCCCGACTACATTGAGTAAAAAACCTTAAAAAACTGTGAATTCCGTAGCAGTAGTAGGAGCAAAATCAGTTCGCTGTCGTGTCTTATGTGGCGTCCTTGTCGCACTCGGGCACGGTCGCCTTAGGCTTGCAGCTTGTAGATTCGGGTGCAAACGATGTCGCCAAGGGTCAAAACCTGCGCAAACATTTTCGGTCACAAATAAAAATTTTTTTTTTTTTCAACTGACCGTTTTGACTTCATCATCAGTCCAGATGCGGTCGATGGTGGTCACTTTGCCATCGGCGCCCTTCTGCACCTCCTTCAGCGTGTTGCCCTCCACCGTGAAGGTGGCTTTGACCGGGCGGCCGTCGGGCGTGACGTCATCCAATTCGACGCCGGGCTTGAATTTCGTCACCGTGTTCTTGAAGGTGGAGCTCGAGCTCAAAACGTACTCGTCCCCCTCTTTGCGCAGCTCTACCACTGGCGACACCGCATTCCCCACCTTGCGCGTCACCAGGCCCACCCCTGCAACCCGCCAGACAGTCAACAGATGGCGCGGCCATAAATCACTCACCCGAGCGGATCACCGATTAGATTAGGGCCAATTAATCGGGCAATTAACTGGCCAATTAGCTGATAATCGGCTGTCGCTGGGCGGTGGCTTTTTCCGGAGTTTTTCGCGCTTTTCCATTGATTGTTTGGGGTAAAAGGCGAAAAAACCCGTCGCCCGTTGACAGCCCAAAGTCCAAAACAAGCGAGCGCAGGGGGCAAAGTGCAAAGGTGGCCAAGGCCACCAAAACAACGGGGAAAAGGCCGGAAAATGGGGAAAATCGCGCTTACCCACGGCCTTCATGTACTCGTCGAACTTTTCGCTGCTGGCCAGCTTGTACTTTTTGCCCAAAATCGCCTCCAAAGCCATCGTGACTGCAATTTCTACACAAAAACTGCCTCTAATTGGTTAGAATCTCGCCGAAGTTTCCACGAACTGTCGCGATCCCCCCGGCAACCGGCGACTTTAAACGATTGAGCCCGACCCAAGTCCAAACTCACGGGCGGCGTTGCCGCCCCGCCCGCTCCGGGTCTCCCGTCCCGGCGCACAGCTCCCCAGCTCCAAGCCACTAAAGCGCAAAAACCCCCGATAAACCGGCCGCATCGGCAACGCCGCAGGCCCATTCAATTAATCCGAAGGGGTTATTGAACGTCCCATCGACACCGCAAACTGAACGGACGGCGGCGTGGCGTGGAAAATTTCCCCAAGATTAAGGCCGCAATAAAAAACTCAGTCTACGAAATACTGTAGAACACTGACAACACCTCCAGGCGCAGGCTGCAGTGACGTCAGCCCGAACCAACCCCAGCTGAGCTCTACAGGGGCGCATTCGCCACATCCACGCAACTGTCCAGAGCGGATGCAAAACAGCAAAAATCACTCACCCACATCCGGCATGGGCGCACTAATTCGAGTAAATTGCCTCAACTGGGCAACAATGGCCTAATTGAGGATGGAGGCGGGGCGCCAGCCGAAACGTCCGGGCGGGCGCGCCACAATGCGCAACTCCGGCCCTTTTTCCCACGGTTCGGCTCAGTTCGCAGCATCCGCACCGCCAGAAACGTCGATATTTGCCCGATTTCGGAAAAATTGCGATTTTTTGCGCGTTTTAGTGCCCGAAACCCCATCGAAGCGGTATGTACTGGATCAAAGCGCCCTGTGCTGATTAGTAGCGTAAATTAGTGGAAAAAACCCATTTTGCCTGGTTTGATTGCGCTTGATCTCCTCAAGCGAGCAGATAGGGGCTCAGGAACCTGCGTGACCAGCGTTGCAGCTGGAATTCTGCTCAGTTTTCCCAGAAAATGCCATAAGTTTTGTACACACTTGGGCGCATCCGCCATCCAGACCATACGGAAATTTTAACCTTGCATCCACCATTTTGTCGATAATTTTGTTACTTTACTGCAACAACTTTCAGTTTCACTGTCAAAACACGCATTTTTAGCCCAGTGCTGTCATTTGGCAGCGCCATCTTTTATTTAATTTGCAAATCATGAAATTTTAAATTTACATAAAAACATGTTTTTCAAAAAATTCCTGAAATTTGCTCACGCTCCCGAGAAAGTCGAAACTCACGTCAGATCTAGAATCATTTTTGCTTTATATGCGGAAGAAGTTTCAACTGTCTAGCTGGCACTGTAGGGAAATGACGAATTTTTGACACTAAGCCTGCACAGCGCCAATAGAAAAGTTAAAGTGCGTGTTTTTCAAAAAATTCCTGAAAATCTCTCGAATTATCTAGAAACCTGAAACTCTCCCGATATAGAGTCGTCTTTGCTCTATAGGCGCAAAAAATTMAACTCTCTRGCGCCTACAGAAACCAAATGGCGAATTTTTAAAGTAGAGTCTGCAYTGCTCCAAGAGAGAGCTAAAAAAGCTGTTTTGGAAAAAAATCCTAAAGTCTTTATTTATCACTACTARTAGTTGCAACACTTRGAAGGGCAGATTTTTCGAAGAGGAAGTTTTTCTCAAAATGACGCTCGTTTTTGAAAAATTGCCGAAATTGCTATTCTGGAGTGAGTTTTTTCGCTTTTTTGCCCAAAATTTCAGGACAATTTTTTCTAACTTTCGCATTGGTTGGCGCCGTCGGAGGGCTACTTTTTTGCAAGAGAAAGGGTTTTTGAAAATGTTGGTTTTTGAAAAATTGCCGAAATTGCGGTTTTGGAGTGAGTTTTTTGCTTGTTTCGAAGAAAATCTTGGGAAATATTTGTTTATCACTTTACTATTACTTTCAACAGTTTGAGGGGTAGATTTTTCGAAGAGGAGATTTTTGAAAAATTGCCGAAATTTCAATTCTGGAGTGAGTTTTTTCGCTTTTTTGACCAAAATTTGTGAACAATTTTTTTCTACCTTTCGCATTGGTTGACGCCATCGGAGGGCCACTTTTTTGCAGGAGAAAAGTTTTTCAAAATGTGATTGGTGTTTGAAAAATTGCCGAAATTGCAGTTCTGGAGTGAGTTTTATGCCTGTTTACACACAATTTTAGAACATTGATTTTTTCTGACTGTGGCAGTAGTTGGCGCAGTCGGAGGGCTACTTTTCTCGAAGAGAGCGTCTTTTTCAAAATGCGGCTTGTTCTTGAAAAACCGCAGAAATTGCGGTTGTGGAGTGAGGTTTTTGCCTTTTTTGTCCAAAATTCTTCCAGATATTCATGTCTGACTTAAGCATTCGCCGAAGAACTTGCAGCACAAGGTTTAGGCAAGACAGTGTTTTATTGAAAATTGAGCCGGTTGTCGAGGAAATACCGAAATTGGGGTTCTGGAGTCAGTTTTTTGAATTTTTGTCGAAAATCTCTGGAGGAAGCATTTTGTAGTTTCGGGGCTGGTTGACGCAGTCGGAGGGCCAGTTTTTCTGAAGATAACATTTTTTTGAAAAAGCGCCTGAAATTGCGGTTGTGGCGTGAGTTTTTTGTTTCTTTTGTACAAAATGTTAGGAAATTCTTCTTTATCACTTCCCTACCCGTTGCAACACTTGGAGGGGTGGATTTTTCGAGAAGAAGGACGTTTTTCTCAAAACTACTGTCGTTTTCGGAAAATTGCCGAAATTGCAGTTCTGGGGTGAGTTTTATGCCTATTTACACTCAATTTTAGAACATATTTTTTCTGACTATGGCTGTCGTTGGAGCAGTCGGAGGGCTACTTTTCGAAGGGAGCGTTTTTTTCAAAACGCTGCCGGTTATTGAAAAAACGCAAAAATTTCAAAAAGTCAGTTTAATTAATTAATCAAGCAATCCTGTGTGTGTGTGTCCCTGTGTGTCTCCAGACGATTTTCCCCTCAAAAAAACCGAGTTTTAGTTAGGGGTTTGCCATTTGCGTTGTGGCGCATTCGCCATCCAGCCCAGAAGGGCGCCAGTGGTTTTTTCGGTTGGGCCCCAATTCAGTGACGGATTCGGTCGAAAGTGGTCACCTGAAGGTGGCCGGGGCGCCATCGCCCCGGCCTGCTTGGATCCAACGCGCTGAACCAGCGATTTCCCCTGATGCATGTGCTGGCGCATCCGCCATCCCGTCGAGACCGGCAAAGTTTCCGCGCTAAACAACGGTGTCTTTTGCAGATTTCCACCCCAAACTAGTCGACAGGAGCCGGCACAGTGGCCAGATTCGAGGCAAAGCTGTTGTCAGCCGTTAATAATTTCTTTGCGACGTCGCCGCTGGTCAACCAGATCAAGGATCTGATGGTGAGTGTCACGCACGATGCGACTAAAACGCTGATAACTACGAAAATAGCTTGAAAAGTTGCCAAATCAGTGCGACCAAACAAGCGTGAACTCTGGCCCGGATAAGAGCGCAACGCTGATAAGAGCGAGCGGACAGTCGCCCGTTTTGCGCTCGTCCGGCCGGAGTCCGGGCGCTTAGGGGGGATTCCCAAAAGGCCCACAAATCTGATGATGCGCCCAAACAATTTTCCCC